CACTGGGGAGAGAGGCTAACTGTGGCGAAACCAACCTCGCCACGAAGCATTGGAGATGCCTGGTTGCTCGCCTGTTGCCCTTGGACAATGGCCCCATGTTAAAAAGCCTTCTTTTCCCCTGCAGAAAAAGTTTGTTCGTGCCTTTCTGCCCGGCGTTCGGTAGATTCAATCTACCAAACAAACAACTGAATGACTGGACCACCTATATTGGGAGTGTATCGGCAATTTACCTCCCAGAAGCTGCAGTTAACCGCAGCTTAATTGACGAATGCTGGATGGCCTTTGTTCATTTGCTGAAAACGTGGCGGCGGCCATTTTAAAGTCCCGAACGGGCAGCGGCGTTCAGCGACCAAACTATGGAACTAGAAACGGACACTTATTTGCGCGAACACCGCTGAGCCGTCAGCCTCCTGGCGTCTGCATTTGGTCATTTAACCGTATGCCTGTTCCAGTCATTTAACCGTATGAACAGTATTACCCCAAATAGCCATGCCACGGAGCCTATTCGTGTAACAAAAGACTATGGGAAAGACTATGGCTCCATGGCGATTGAACTGTATGTATGTGATCTGAGCGCCATTCAGTAATAATGTGCGCTCAGATCTAAGCTATGTGGGGATAGGTAGAATGTATATGTTTTGTGCAACAGTTGTAACTTTATACATTTTTATGTCTTTTACTGTCTTTTACTGCCATGTGGTTAATGGAGTTTTGCCTCTGTCCTGGGAGATAATTGGATTACTTCCCAATTATCTCCAGGATAGAGGGAGGGAAATTAGGATGCATTGTGGGGATGTTTTACCTACCTCTGTGTGTCTGTCATTGGTTCAGGTCTGTCCTTTGTCATAGTCTCCCATTTGGTCCCCTAGGGGAGTGTCCACCAGCTGGGAGACCTGCATAAATACTGGGCAGGTAGCCCTCAATAAAACAGACCACTGCTTGACCCTCAACACGGAGCTCTGTCTTGTCTTTGGGGAGATTTACTGTATGCTGTTAGAGACTGATTGCCAGGAGTGTAAGCCGCTTGGGTGCTTTTCCTGTTCGTCTGCTAGCAGCTATTTGTGAGGTTCCAGTTCGGGAGTTTGGAGTGCTACTTTGTATGCAGTTCTGGAGTTTGGAGCATTCCATTGTATGCAGTTCGGGAGTTTGGTGTTCTGCAGTAGCTGTGCCTGTGTCTCTGGAATGGAAGATCTACTTGTAACGGCACCCTCAGCATAAAAGGGTTAAACCGCTGTTTAGGAGATCTTCCCCTTCCAGAGATACAGGCACAGTTACTGTAGAACACCAAACTCCCGAACCGCAAATAAGGGAATGCTCCAATCTCCCGAACTGCATACAATATAGCACTCCAAACTCACGAACTGGAACCATACGAATAGCTGCTAGCAGACGAATAGGAAAAGCATCCAAACGGCTTACACTCCTAGCAATCAGTCTCTATCAGCATTCAGTAAATCCCCCCAAAGACGAGACAATGCTCCGTGTTTTGGGTCAAGCAGTGGTCTGTTTAATGAGGGCTACCTGCCCAGTATTTATGCAGGTCTCCCACCTGGTGGACACTCCCCTAGGGGACCAAATGGGAGACTGTGACAAAAGACAGACAATCAGCAAAATAGGACACACAGTCACATTATATTCCCACAATGCATCCTGGCTTCCTCTCCTCTGCCCTGGAGATAATTGAGAAGTAATTCAATTATCTCCCAGGACAAAAGCAAATCGCCATTATGCACATGGGGATACCAATACAGGAATTACTATTAAAATACACTATGTTGGAACAGTTACAGTAAAGATATACAGGTTAAGAAATACATTTAACATGTCCCCAGATAGCTCAGGTCTGAGCGCACATTATTAAGCGAATGGCGCTCAGACTACACGAATACAGTTCAATCGCCATGGAGCCAAAGTGTTCACAAAGTCAGTTCTCATGCGAATGAGCTCCATTGGATTCCTATCTGGGGTATGGTGTAGTCAGGTACAACTACCGAATACAAGGCCGTTCGTGTACGTCCACCGAACAAGAAGGGAGGTCAGAGGCTTCAGCGGTGTTCGTGCCAAACTGTGTCCATTTTTAGTTCCATGAGTTAGGCGTCGAACACCGCTGTGCGTTCGCAAGTTTAAAATGGCCGCGACCCCGTGTTGGGTATACGAATGGCGGCCACCCAGTATTCTTCAATTAAGCTGCGGTTAACCGCAGCTTCTGGGAGGCTAATTGCCGGCACATTCCAGTTCCCAGGTGGTCTAGTCATTCTTGCGGTTGTTCGGTAGATTGAATCTACCAAACACCGGGCAGAAAAGCATGAATAAGTCTTTTCTGCAGGGGAAAAGAGGTCTTTTAACATGGGGCCATAATCCAAAGGTAGCAGGCGAGCAACCAGGCTTCTCCAATGCAATGTGACGAGATTGCTCTCGTCACACTACTAAACAGCGGTTTAACCCTTTTATGCCTGGGGGTGTCTTAACACTAACATCCTCTGATGTAAAGTCAATTAAATCAGTGGGCATCTCTTCCCAGACCAGTTGCATCACCTCTGCCGAAGGGCTACTGCAAACCTCCTTTCGCTGGAGACTTACTCCCCCTCATTTTAGCCATCAGGAACTCGTGGTCTCTCTTGGCTTGTCTCTCGATGGGCACCTTGTTCCAGATCACCTGGAAGGTCTCTATCGACACATTAGAGCCATACCAGGCCAGTTGCTGCCGTAACTCAAACAGCAACTCTGAGCAAGAGTCAGAGGATGCCATGCTTGCCTGCTACAAGTCACGAATGCTAGCGTTGCCCTCAATGTAATCCATATGTGTCTCCAAGATGCTTCTCCTCGCACTAGGAAGCCATCCCACCACTTCCACCAATGTGACGGACCGCCTGGCACCCCGACCTGTCAAACGGTGCTTCCTAGTACATGCGTGCACCATAAGCACTGTACTGGAACACCATAACCACCGTAAACCCCACAGACCACCACAGACCACCGCAGCTTGGTTGGGGTTTCGCTGTCCTCCACCCACCCTGGATCCAAGACCAGGATCCAGCTTCCAGTGTGCAGACCTCTCCTAGTCCAGAGAGCATAGCAGGAACAGCTCTTATAAGAGCTAGTGATTATACTCAGGGGAGTATAGTGATTATAGCAATCCCCAGAGTGAATGTAGTTCTCCAATACCCCAAACGTGAGCCAAGACTTAATGAAGTGAAATATGAATCTCAGTTTAATGGGAGCCACACTTGGCCTTATATGACAATCCCCATGCAAGGGGTACGCCCACATGGACCTGATGGTAGACTGATTTGCAGCTTCACAGACCAATAACAATAAGGTTACAAGGCACGACACTCCCACACACAGCACACAATCCCTCTCCTCGACCTGGGAGATAATTGGATCAGTAACTGTACTAATTCTAATCCAATTATCTCCAAGCACAGACAAAAACATACTTTTTTAAAACAACCCAAAAGTACCTTAAAAATACATAAAACCCCACAAATGTTATATCCCCTGATAGCCCTGATCTGGATGACCAACATATCCAAAAATCACATAGTGATATAGTATTCCCCTGAGTAGATACAGCCGTTTCCCCCACACATGAGACAAAGCTCTATGTTGAGGGTAAGCAGGAATTCATTTAATGGTAGCCACAACTGACCTTATATGAAAGGGGCACTCCCCCTGGAGTAAACCACAGTATAAACAATTACACATCATATTGGCTCTCAGATCCAGGAAACTCCCATACATAATCAGATAATCCCTCCTCTGTACCTGGGAGATAATTGTACTAACTCAATTATCTCCAGGCAAAAAAACACACATTTTTATAAAACCCCAATGTTTCTATTGATTATATATATGGATGTGTGGATTGACATAAGTAACAGATGGTATCAATAAGTCACAAGGCTTTCTTTGTCCGAGAGCTCTGGAATGTGGATTCGGGGTTTTGTCCTTATATGGCTAGAGTTATATGCTGACGTTAGTATTAGCACATCTATATAGTAACAGAGGGACACGAGGTCGCTCTCTGTCTTGGCTTGGCTCTTGGCTCTGTACAACGATGTAACTCTCCCATCAGAAGTACAGCAATTACCATCTGCTGTTAAATGTCCATTATCCTGTAACATCATTTATTATGTTTTATTTTGTATCTGTAACTAAGAATAAACCTGAAGAAACCGTAAGTAAGATTGCGTATTACTACTTTTCAATAATATAGACATATATTATTGTGGCGAGCATTTGGCCCAAGACTATATATACAAAAGACGTATATATATCAATCAACTGAAGACAAGAAGAAATTAAGAAGATTCAACATTATCACCATCCAAAACTACATTTTACACCCAACAATACTGAAAGCCATTAATTTGTATAACTTGGGTAGGTGAGAGAGGGATACGATACAATATTGTGGCGGACCGCCTGGCACCCTGGCCGGGTGCCTCTGCCAATCGATACTCCTAGTGCTCACCGAGGACTCTAAGCACTCCACCAGACACCATCAGCACTGTAGTTCCCACTTCCAGCATTACAGCTTGGTTGGGGTGTTGCTGTCCTCCACCCAACCTGGAGCCAAGACCAGGATCCAGCTTCCAGTGGGTAGACTCAAGAGAGTGTAGCAGGCTGCTCTTATAAGAGCAAGTGATTATAATCCAGAGGAGTGTAGTTATATAGCAATCCCCAGGGTAGATACAGCAGTTTCCCCCACACATGAGACAAGGCTCTATGTTGAGCATAAGTAGGAACTCGTTTTATGGTAGCCACAACTTCTAGGGGCACTCCCCCGCCCCATGGACCTGAGAGTAAACCACAGTATAAATTACACAACCACATTGGCTCTCAGATCCAGGACACTCCCATACATTATCAGATAAGCCCTCCTCTGTACCTGGGAGATAATTGAGTCATGGACTGTACTAACTCAATTATGTCCAGGCAGAAAAACACACATTTTTATAAAAACCCAACAATACCTTAAAAACATACAAAACCCCCACAAAAGTTACATCCCCTGAAAGCCCTGATCTGAGTCACCAACGTGTCCAAAAATCACCCAGATCAGTTCAGGGGTTCAGGAATTTCCTGGAAGTCATTTATTTGACCATGCCAAAAACAGTTCCAGAGAATCAGGGTCTAGTTCGGTAGTTTGATAACGAACAAACTACCGAACATAGTCAAGGGTCTTACACTGAAGCCTGTTCCCCTCACTGAACAGTGCCCTTCTAAGTTGAATAGAATCGATGATGGAAGTCCAGTGGTGTTTGGGAGTTTCTGTATCCGATTTTAGTTCCATGAGATTCATGCCTAAACACCGCTGCCTGCTTTCAGGCAAACAAGATGGCCGCCACCTCATGGTTGTCCATAGGAATTGCGGCCACCCAGACGAACAATTAGAAGACTGCGGTGAGAAATGTTCCACATTGTTAATAGGTGTTAACAAGCTCCAGGGTAGTCTCATACGGTTGTTCCGTAAACGAACCATATAGTCCCAATTGCACAAACAGAGCCTGTTTAAAGTATTTTAGCCAGGTCTATTGCAGGGGCCATAGTCACAAGGTAGGAGGCTGGCAAACAGGTCCCTCCAAAAACCAGTGGTGAGGTTACTTTCGCCACAGCAAAGATTTTGGCTGAGATGTTGGAGCAAGTGATTCCTAAAGTCATAGCTAAAGATCAGGTGGATTTTGTTATTGGAAGGGAGTACCCCAGATGGCACTAGGAGTAGATTTATTCTAATACATCTAATTAAATCAACTCGAACTCCTCTTTCTCTGCAGAAGTGAATGCTCCACCAGTCGGTAGTTCCTATCTCGCGAATGTGGTTCGTTTACCTGGTCGGGAAAATCTACAGCAGTGGTACCATCTTTGCCGGGGTTCGCGAGGTAGTGTAGCTGAAATTAGTTCCATGCACTTGACAACCAAGTACCGCTGCCTGTGATCCGGAGACAAAATGGCCGCCATGCACTGGACCATGTGCATTCGGTTATACGAATGTAGGCCACCCAGAGAAAGCACTCAAGTTAATCTCTTAATTTCAGTTAACAGCCAGGGGTGGTCGGTGTTCTGAACCAATAAGGAGGGGGACCACACAAGTTCTGTTTGGTTTACGAACAAGGGGGATTCGTCTCAGTTTTGGAAAATTAAACATAGGTTCGGGCAACCTCAGGGAATGTTACCAAGTCCGCCACACATAACTTTATAAAAAAATGTAATACACCTGATTCCCTAATTAATGCAATTTTCACACTATACCATAATCCAACAACTATGGTCTTTGCCCTGGCTGTACCTGTGATAACTTTATATATACAAACCAGACTAGACAGAGATGTTCATTATCACCAATACTTTTTGCCTTGGCAATTGAATCACTAGCTGCACAGATTAGGAATAGAGAGAAAAGAATAAGGGTGCGCCTAAAACAAGTAAAAATAGTAAAATGAGAATAGCAGCAATAACAAAAAATTCGGAAAAATGTCCAAATAATATAAAAAATGGGATAACCACGATACCTAATAGTCCAAATATAAAATGTCCAAATGCGCAAATGGTGGTCCTAATAGTCCATCAGAAGGGTATGTAGCGTCCCGGATAAGTATAAATATGCGGGGAGAACAGAAGAGAGAGAAAAACTCCAATGGTGTAGTATAAAAACAGAATATGAATATATAGTAAATATTTGTGGAACTACTCACAATCTTCAGAGCTTAAATCCAGCTCTGGTATGGATAGCGTGAAGTGGAATAATCCCCACTCAAGGATATGTGGTGCTCCTCTTTGCCACCATTCGTATCACGAACACGAGGACGCGGCCATTTTAAACATGCGAATGCACAGCGGTGTTCGACGTTTAATTCATGGAACTAAAATCGGACACAGTTTTGCGCGAACACCGCTGAAGCTGCCGACCTCCCTTCTTGTTCGGTGAAAGTGCACGAACGGCCCGGTGTTCGGTAGTTTTGCTTGTATGTGTTATACCCCAGATAGGAATCCCATGGAGCTCATTTGCATGAAACTGACTATGTAAAGACTTTAGCTCCATGGCGATTAAACTGTATTCGTGTGGTGTGAGCGCCATTCGCTTAATAATGTGCGCTCAGACCTGAGCTATCTGGGGATATGTTAAATGTATGCTTTTAATGTTATGTGTCTCACATAGTGTATTTTAATAGTAATTTGTGTGTTAGTATCCCCACGTGCATAATGGCGATTTGCCTTTGTCTTGGGAGATAATTGAATTACTTCTCAATTATCTCCAAGGCAGAGGGGAGGAAACCAGGATGCATTGTGGGAATATAATGTGACTGTGTGTCCTATTTGTCTACTTGTCTGTCCTTTGTTACAGTCTCCCATTTGGTCCCCTAGGGGAGTGTCCACCAGGTGGGAGACCTGCATAAATACTGGGCAGGTAGCCCTCATTAAACAGACCACTGCTTGACCCTCAACACGGAGCCTTGTCTCGTCTTTGTGGGGATTTACTGAATGCTGATAGAGACTGATTGCTAGGAGTGTAAGCCGCTTGGATGCTTTTCCTATTCGTCTGCTAGCAGTGATTCGTATGGTTCCAGTTCGTTTGTTTGGAGTGCTATATTGGATGCCGTTCGGGAGTTTGGAGCATTCACTTATTGGCGGTTCGTGAGTTTGGTGTTCTACAATAGCTGTGCCTGCATCTCTGTAAAGGGGGACAATCGCCTAAACGGTTTTTACCCCTTGTGTGCAAATCGGTCCATTACAGCGAACTTCCGCAAATGTTCGCAAACGGGCGAACCGGGCGAACCGCCATAGACTTCAATAGGCAGTCGAATTTTAAAACCCACAGGGACTCTTTCTGGCCACAATAGTGATGGAAAAGTTGTTTCAAGGGGACTAACACCTGGACTCTGGCATGCCGGAGGGGTATCCATGGCAAAACTCCCATGGAAAATTACATAGTTGATGCAGAGTCTGGTTTTAATCCATAAAGGGCATAAATCACCTAACATTCCTAAATTGTTTGGAATAACGTGCTTTAAAACATCAGGTATGATGTTGTATCGATCAGGTAGTGTAAGGGTTACTCCTGCTTCTCAGTGACAGACCAAACTCCCCGTTTAACGCACCGCAAACAACCGCAAACAGAGGTGGCTCTCTAATTAGGCGGTTTAGGCGGCCGCCTAAGGCCTCGCGCTGGCTGGGGCCTGCGGCCGCCTAAACCACCTTATGGCAGACTGTGTCAGGTCCTCGGTCAGTGACTTGCCCGTTATGCCGCCGGGTGTGAGGCCCCTCCTGGCTGCCCGGCCACCATCGCAGACACAGGTCTGCAGCTCCGCAGTGAGCAGAGCTGCAGACCATGTGTCTCGCGAGAATTGGCCAATCAGAGCATTGCCGCAGGTTACCACGGTGTTACGATTGCCCCCGGTCTAGCAGGGGGGTTGATCGCTTGGAGGTCCTGGTTCCCGCTGTAGAGAGTACTCCGTTCGAGTATTCCAAACACGGTATAAGCATCAATATCCCGGATCCCTACAACATGAGTCGAGGCTGGAAATTGAGGGTCAAAATGAACTGGCTTTACTGGCACACAAACATGGCAATTTATGCAGTTCCTCAGGTCCAAGGACAGCCCCCTGTGGACCTGATGGAATACAGGTACAGTACAAACAGGTAACCAATCATAGTACAGTTTATCGTTTGAATTAGTACCCGCCCAGCTTGGAGATAATGAGGCCAACGGTTATACAATCTAATTATCTCCAAGCGCACAAAAGACCACGTTTTATTATGCCTCATAAAACTGTATAAAAATCCATAACTTTAACATCAATAGAGGAAAACAGTTCATTCTACCATTCATTCCATAGCTCGCGTTCAAGCACATTAAACATACGAATGGCGCTCCAATCCCACGAGCAGAATGATCTATTTCTGCCGAATAAAGTCCGTTCGGTATTTTGGATCATGAGTCTATGATGGCGGCCATGTTTTTAGACGGTTTAACGAGCAGCGGGACCTCGCCTCCAATTTATGGAACTAAACTCGGGTATCAGTTCATGTGAATCCCCGCTGTCTGTCTGGTAGTGGAACTCGTTCGGTACATGAACGAGGACCATCTGGTAGCATGGTACTTGAGTTGCGGTTAACCGCAGAAACCACAGGCTAATTGCTGCCACACGACCCACTGTAGGGGGTCTCCGTTCGTGAGGTTATTCGGTAGGTTCCCTTCGGTGATTTGTGTGCGAACGTCGATCCTCCAGGCCCGGCATTACCACCCCCAACCACCCTCAGCTTCCCCCCACCACCCTCAGCATCACCAGACCCCTCAGCCTCACTACCTCCTACACCCTCAGCCTCACTACCCCCCACACCCTCAGCCTCACTACCCCCCACACCCTCATCCTCACTACACCCCCACCACCCTTAGCATCACTACCCCCCAACCACCCTCAGCCTCACTACCCCAACCACCCTCCGCCTCATACCCCCATACCACCCCTCAGCATCACCACCCTCAGCATCACCACCCCAACCACCCTCAGCTCCTCCCACCACCCTCAGCATCACCAGCCCCACCACCCTCAGCTCCTCCCCACCACCCATCACCAGCCCCACAACCTTCAGCCCCCACCTCACATCACCCTCTACCCCCCACCCCCCTCAGCATCAACCCCCTCACCATCACCCCATCCTTCTCACATCACCCCTCCTCACATTACCCCTCCTCCTCACATTACTCCCTCCTCCTTCTCACATTACCCCTCCTTCTCACATTACCCCCCTCCTCTTTCTCACATTACCTCCCCTCCTCCTTCTCACATTACTCCCCTCCTCCTTCTCACGTTACCCCCTCACTCTCACATTACCATCACCTCCCTGTCACCATCACCTCCCTGTCATCATCACCCGCCTCTCCTTCTCACCATCACCCCCCCCCATACACACAACACATGTCATGATTCCCTTTTATTCCAGAAGTTTGGTCCTTAAGGGGTTACGGCCAAGTCCCGTGCCCACCAGTGATTCCCAGGTCCACCATACACATAGTTGGGACACAGACCACCAGACCAGCAGACAGCTGACCAATGCCAAGGCCCCCAAGCAAGTAAGGGAGAGCCCGCACAAGTATTATATAAATAAGTTGAATATGTTGGACACTGTAAATAGTTCTGCACACACATCTCAGATACCAAGACCCTCAATGGAATCTCAGCCAAAGTATAGAGAGATA